CTACAGTCACTGAACAGGCAGGTGAGTCCTCCTTGTCTTTGTTGTTCTTGGTCTCTGGCATATCAGTCACCCAGCTACCCCAGGATTCTATAGAGATGGCTCTGGAAAGCCTGTGAAGATGTCCTAATATTACTGCCCTCTAGGCTGACATATTCTGAGGTCACGCAACCTGTTTCCAACACCGCTTGCACGTCTGGGTGACCAGGTACCACCTAACCTTCTCAAGACCCTGCATGCTTGCCTCTTCTTTAAAAGCCTCGTTTTAAGAAGGGCAGTAACATCTGAAAGAAAGCATGCAGATTGAAGAAAAGAACAATTTGGAGAGAACTACTTTCCTGCCTATAGGACTGTAATACCTCATTATTGTCTGGCTGAATGCTGAATGTTTTCACAGTTCTTAAAACAGTTATTTATAGAGGAATATGTCAGAAATACAAACTTCTGCAGAGCCAGAATAAACATGTGTCCTCATTGCTTCTCTAGCTCTAGCTCAGGAGTCAGCAAGCTTTTCCTGTAAAAGGCAAGAGAGTAAATAGGCTAAGCTTTTCAGGTGTGTGCCATAACTACTCAATGCCATTGATGTGGTAGCAGGAAAACAACTATAGACCATATGTAAATGAACGAGGATGTCAGTGTTCCAATAACATTTTATTTACCAAAACAGTGTTGGCCAGCTCACAGGCCACAATTTGCCAACTGCTGCTCTAGAATTAGTATTTAGTTTTGATTTTTAAAAAATACATGTATTACTGTTCTAATCATAAAGAGTGAAATAAAGCTAATTTTATTTCACTCTGTCTGAGTTAAATCTGTGCTCAGTGAAGAAAGTCAATGGGAAAAATATTCTATTCTATATACAGAATCTTCACATGAGCCAAGACAAAATCTAAGGAAAGGGAGAATTGTTCCCTTGCCCATTGAATGCTGGCTACGAAGTGGAAGGGGCTCTTTTTGCTCTAAGGAACAGTGTGGGGAAAAGCAGATCCCGGTCTCACCTTGAATGGAACGAGAGTGTCCAGGGAGACATTCAGGGGTCCTACCTGGAGCTTGCTCAGGAGAAAGTTTGGTCTCTTGCATTCATTCAGTCCCACATACGGTCCCGGAGTCCCACCCTGTGATACCCATCACTCCACTATCTGTCTGGATGGAAATTAGAGGAAACCTTTATTAATACTCAGGAGGTTTCTGACCATTAGTGGAATCATGCCAAGGCAGCAGGCTCCCTGAAGTGAATCACCTACAACCGTTCAGAGAACAGGGAAACAGCCACTTCATTCTCTTTCCTTTCCTTTAGCAAGAGTTTCTCAGAAAACTGAGAAGTTCTTCAGAAGTTTGAGATCTTTTCTTTTTAAAGAGAGTAAGAGAAAACTTAGTTCAGCATGATGTACTGGAAAGAGCAGGACTTATATAGCCAGAAAGAACAAACTGAAATCATGGCTTTGCTGCATACCTGCTATGCAGGCTGGGGCAGTCACTTGGCCTCTGAACCCCAGTCTTGTCTCCAGAGAAAAGTCTCTGGTCTGTTGAGAAATACACTCCCTTCCAAGGTTTAAACATGCTTTTCAGCAGAGCAGCTGAAAAGGTCTTTCTGTCCCCATCCATTGCCTCAACGCAGTCTTCTATCCCATTTCCTCTTTTCAGCCCCACCTATACACTGCACTTACCACCTGCGACCTTGCCCTCACATGCAAAGCTCTGAGAAATACCATTTGCTTTTTGTTTTTGCTGTTGCTCTGGTAAAGATATTTTTCACTGAAATACTTGTGAAAAAACTCTTCAGTCCTGTACATCTTGCTCTGAGTTAAATCTTTGTGCTCCTATTTACTTGCTCTACAGAGAACTTCTCTGTTCTCTCAGCCCCCTACCGTTGTCCCTCCACTGCAGTTCTCCTCTGTACTCTCCGGGGATCAGCATGATTCTACTGGGCACCTCTGCAGGTAGAGCCACTCTCAGCCAGTTGCTGGAGGATTTGGAACTCCCTGAGGATGAACAAGTCAGCCTTGAGACTTGTTGCCCTCCCTTTCTAGGGCCTCTGACTCCTTACACTCTGCTAATGGTGCACACAGATTAGAACTCTTGAGGTTGTACCACAATGACAGCCAGTGTAGAGCCAGCACTCTTCTGCTGAGGCCTCCAAACTGCCAGGTGGTTGGCATCGGAGCAGTCACAGTCATGCTAGAAGCAAGTGGATACAAACTCTCACACAAACCCTATTCTGACTCTTTGGGGTTCCCTGATATGAAACTATGGACCAACTTATGTCTGTCCCATAGGTAGGACATCACTCTCAGGGAGTTTGACTTCAAGTCACCTTCATTTATTCAGTATCCCCGAGTCCACCCCATCTCACAGACCTGAAACCCATTATTTTAGTTGCTCTTGAAGTGCAGTTATGATGTCCTCTTATTCCTCCTCAGCCATCATTAGCTTCTGCAACAAAGACATCCCCCCCTACGGTTGTGAAGATTTGTGGCTCACTGTGTGGTCCATAAATGCCAGCACCATTGTGTGCTTCTCTCACAGAATCCTTAAGGCAGCCTGATGAGAGGCAAATGCTCTTTGTTGTTCCATCTCTTAGATGAGAAACTGTAACTGAACACAGGTCCAGCTGCTCACTGCTTGCAAAGTCCAATGAATAAGAGAGAGATCTGGTAGAAAGAAAGTGACTTTTTAATTCCAAAACTTAGCTGAGGGGAAGTAGTACAGGCTTCTGCCTTGAGGGTACCACTTCTACTTCTGGGGCAGAAGGCAAGGGCTTTTAAAGGGGGACTTGGTGTGAACAGCATGCAGGGGAGGGAGCGAGGTGGTGCCAGTCTACGTGACTTGCTTTGGATGTCATCTGTCAAGTGATTTGGCTGGCACCAGTGTGGGCAGAACTAGGTTGTAAATTGAGGCAAGCTTCTGGTGGGAGAGAGTTCTAGAGGCACCTGGTTCTCTGGAACCTCTGAAGTAAACACATAGCTAGATACGCATTCAGTGCAAGGAGTGAATGATGGAGAGAAGGTAAAAATTATAATTGCATGAAAAAGGTAAAAATACTTCTTTTTTTGTTTCTTAGAAAAATAGGAAACTTGGTTATAAAACCAAGGTCCAAAGAATAAAGTGCTTTGTCCAGTATCACACAGCCAATAATAGTAGACTTGGATTCAAAACAGTGTGATCTGGCTCTTCACCATTAGGTTAAACGTTGTGAGAACTGAAATCAAGCAGTATCTCCTGGTGGTGATGATGACTCTTTCTGGCTGCATGTTCACTTCCAGGCCTCCGAGCTTTAGCGTCTCTCCCCAGCGGATTCCTCTCAGAGCTGCAAGTCGGCTCACCCTGCTGCTCCCACTTGCTAGTCTGCCATTATGGACTCAGGATCATCCGCTCCTCACTGCTCTGCATCCTCTGGCTTGCTCTTGGGGCAGTCTGCCTCTTACCAAGCAGTTTGAGGATATGAATAATTCCTAACGACCAACTCAAAGTCTCACTTTGTCAGCGGCAGCCAGAGCCAGTGAGGCTGCCTGTCATGCCCTTTTCAACAGCGTCACTAATCATAACTCCTCTTCCTATCCCCAGAGGTGTTCTCCGCAGGAATATTTCCTGTTTGTGGAGGAAGACTGTACCAGTGGTTTAAAACTTGGCTTGATTCCAAGTCCCACGGTGGAGTTTCCATGAGATCTAGTATCCATTTGCAAAGGAGGGCACAAGTCTTGAATTAAGTTAATTGTTTCTCCAACCCACCTTTTCTGCCCTTCTAATTATACACACACACACACACACACACACACACACACAAAATCAGATTGTTCCCCAATGTCCAACAGGTAATTCTGGTTCTGTTGAAATAGCCAGTAGCAAACCATACATTTTGCCTAAAATTATACTTCCAAATGCCACAGATTTCCTGTGGTTTTTTAGCTGTAGCTCTGCAGTAGTATTTTATGAATCATCACATCTCTTATGTTATTGACTTCTGCTTCCTTCTACTACACATCTGACAGTCATGATACAATCGAATAGTGATAAGAAAGATTTTTATTTGAGATATAACGTAATTCCTTACTTTGTGGCCAGAATCCTCTACTACAATCATAAAATATCATGAAGATGTCATAGACACAAAACATAGTCTGGTACCATAAATAAATGAAGTGACAGGGTCAACATGAGAGAACCTGTGATCAATCTAAGGAAAGCAACCTCTGGGGAGGACATTTGTCTTTGGCAATAGCTTTTTTCTTTATATGATCCTTCTCTAGGAACTGAGCCTTGGATTAAAAATAATCTCTACTTCTCTGAATGGATGAGAAAAATTTTCTGAAGGCATTTGAGTAGAGAATTCGAGTAGATAATTAAAGATACTGGATCTTATTCCAGTAACTGGCTTATTCCCAATAATCCACACTACTTGATGGTTTTTATTTGTTGAGGCAAGGAGAGGGCATGGGACCTGAATTTATAACACAGTGTAGAGTTCTGAGGGCTGGATGAAGGCATGGGGCATGAGAAAATGAAGTGCCCACTGAGGGCAATGGTTTCCCTGTGTGGTGTCACTGATGGAGAAGGCTGAAGATGAGGAGTTTGTCAGAACACTCATTCATGAACATTAAAAAACCATGTTTACCTTGACACCCCTGCAATAGACTAAATGTTTGTATCTCCCTAAAATTCATATGTTGAAACCCTAATCCCAATGTGATGGTATTTGTAGGTGGTGCCTTTGGGAGGTAATAAGATCATGAGGGTGGAATGCTCATGAATAGGACTAACACTTTTATAAGAACAGGCCAGAGAGTTAGCTCATTCTTTTTCCATCATGTGAGTGTAGAGCGAAAAGTTGGCAGTCTGCACCCTAGAAGATGGCCATCACCACAACCTGACAATGCTGGCACCCTGACCTCAGACTTTCAACCTTCAGAACTGTGAGAAATAAATCTCTGTTACTGATAAGCCACTCAGTTTGTGGAATTTTGTGATAGCAGTACAAGCTAAGATATCCCCTCAGGAAACGTGGGATGAAACTCTCAGTTATTAAGGCATGGATTGGAACCTCCACCTTATCTAAAGAAGTAGAGGCTATGCCTGAGACCACCTCACTGCCAGTGGAGTCTGTCTGGGTTCTCTGCAGGAATTGCAAATCCAGTTTCCCTCCTTCTCTTGCAGATTCGCTGACCCTTGTGGCGCCCTCTTCTGTCTTCGAAGGAGACAGCATAGTTCTGAAATGCCAGGGAGAAAAGAACTGGAAAATTCAGAAGATGACTTACCACAAGGATAACAAAGAGTTATCTGTTTTCAAAAAAGTCTCAGATTTCCTTATCCAAAGTGCAGTTTTAAGTGACAGTGGTAACTATTTCTGTAGTACCAAAGGAAACATCTTTTCGTGGGATAAACGTTCAAATATAGTAAAGATAAAAGTCCAAGGTAAAACCCTCACTTCTGTGGGATGGGCTGGGTAAGAGACCATGGCAGCAAGCAGGGCGGGTACTTGGTAGGGGAAAGTTGCTCATGGGCCAGATATAGACGGGAGTGCTTGTGGTTCGACCATCATGGGAGCCATGATGGGTGAGAGGTGTCTGGCTCTGAATGTCCAGTTTGCTGGGGTTGCTTCTTACCAGGGGCTTTTCAGCAGGAATCTTAGCTCTCACTGCTTTGGGGACTATTGTGATCCGTCTCTCTAGAGCTCTTTCAACACCCTGTGCTGACAGCCAGCTCCTTCCAGCCCATCGAAGGGGGTCCAGTGAGCCTGAAATGTGAGACCCAGCTCTCTCCACAGAGGTTGGATGTTCAACTCCAGTTCTGCTTCTTCAGAGAAAATCAGGTCCTGGGGTCAAGATGGAGCAGCTCCCCGGAGCTCCAGATTCCTGCCATGTGGAGTGAAGACACAGGGTCTTACTGGTGTGAGGCAGAAACGGTGACTCACAGGATCAGAAAACAGAGCCTCCAATCCCAGATTCACGTGCAAAGCAAGTATCAGTGAAGCTGAGCCTGGAGAAAAAAGATAGGAGTGCTGTAGCTTCAGCTTGAACTACTAGTCTTTTTGTTTCTTTGTTCAACTCCTGTCCTTGAGGAAAGTGAAAATTAAGCTAGAAAACCCCTCCAGATTGCTCCTGGCTTCCTACTGCATAAGAATCAGAAACGGACTAAGCCCTTTATAATCTTTCTTTTTTGTTGTTAGTTAAGTAATATTCATTGATCAAGCCTTCATTGATCACTGACTGTATGCCTTGGCATTTAGTAGTGGGTGGGACACTTCAAAAGGCAAACCACTTGCTGTCTAATGGCTCTCCAAATGTCTCCACATGATGAGATTGCAACACAAATTGACTTACTAGAAGACAATGTGGTGCTACATATATATATATATGTATACATATACGTATACATATATATGTATACGTATATGTGTATACATATATATGTATATATAAAGGGTGGTTTGCCTTTTGAAGTGCCCCACCCACTACTAAATGCCAAGGCATACAGTCAGTGATCAATGAAGGTTTGATCAGTGAATATTACTTAACAAAAAAGAAAGATTACATATATATATGTTTATATATATATAAACATATAGTACTACCTGAAGCATCAGGAAAAGCAGATGTGAATGAGCAGAGTGGTCAGAGGAGAAGTTGTATTTGGTTGAACCTTGAAATTAAGAATGATAGAGGAATTATTATTGGGACTGTCAGTTAGGGATAATGACTTTTCCAAGGCAGGACTGAAGATATCAGTGCCCCTCTATATTCTGCGCAACAGATGTCTGTGACTCATCTAAAAAATTGAACAGTTTCCTGTCCCATGGAGTGACTGATCCATCACAAATTCTTTAAATATTACCACCCATGAAATTGGCCAGGGTTAGGACATACAAATATCTTTATCCACATTCCTCAAGGATAATTGTTATAGATTCCCTACCTCCATGTGAATGCTTATGATGGATTATCTATACAATATCCACATTCCCACTCTTTGCATTAGAGAATGGAATCAGTCAAACTCTGTCACCAGAGTTTCCCTTAGAGTTCTCACCTGTTATCTTATATCCATCTAGGAATCCCCATCTCTAACGTAAGCTTGGAGACCCGGGCCCCCGGGGGACAGGTGACTGAAGGACAAAAACTGATCTTGCTCTGCTCAGTGACTGCGGGTATAGGAAATATCACATTCTCCTGGTACAGAGAGGCCACAGGAACCAGTCTGGGAATGAAAACCCAGCATTCCTTGTCAGCAGAGCTGGAGATCCCAGCTGTGAAGGAGAGTGATGCCGGCAAATATTACTGTAGAGCTGACAACGGCCATGAGTCTATCCAGAGCAAAGTGGTGAATATCCCTGTGAGAAGTGAGTGATACTCTCATGCATATTTTCCAGAAATTCCCAAACCAAGGTCATGGGACACAGGAGTTCTGAGGAAATTTCAGGAGGCCCCAGGCATTAGTGTTGTGGAGAACCAAAAGCAATTTGAAAATGGGTTACCCTTGCAGGTTAGACTGCTGACCTGTTTCTTTTTGTAGAAGGAAATATAAAGAGGGCTGTAATTGATTATGAAGCAAAAGCATTCTTGCACTCCTAAAATAGGATAATGAAACACCTATTACATGAAACCTTTGGGCTCTGGGCCAGGGAGTATCATGGATCTAAAAGGTTCACAGTGGTAACAACCGGCTTCATTTCATGTCATCTCCTTCAGAGTGATTAGAGTGTTTCTAGCTTGCCGAAACTGTACCCAAAGGGAGACATTTGGAGCCATGTTATTGGTGATTTACTGGTGTGGAAAATTACCTGGTGCTGTAACCAAGTAGCCGTTTTCGTTCTAACCCAGTCCTACAGTCCTGAACTGGGCTGAACAAACATTCCTAAATATATGCTTAGAAATGCTCTTATATATCAGTTTTCCCAGGAACAACTATAATATTATAGAAATCTCACAATTATTTCCTCATAAAAAATTATAGAATACAAAAAAAAAAAAAAAAAAGAAATATGAAGGGAGCTGGATGGGCACAGGAAAACAATCAGATGAGAACAGCAGATGACCGTGTCTGTAGGCAGCACCCAGAACTGATATTCCCCTCAAACATCTAAATATATTGTTGAGAAAATTACCTCTAACTGGTTTTTAGTGGAAATGTGAGAATGGAAAGTATGCAACAGCCACAGGGCCAGGCCCTTTGCTGAGCCTGCAGGATGGCAGTTTGTGAATCTGTTGCAGCATCACAAATCTTTTCTGATAGCCCCTCTGTGTCTGTCAGTTCCAGTGTCTCGCCCCGTCCTCAACCTCAGGTCTCCTGGGACCCAGACTTCAGTGGGGGACGTGCTGGAGCTTCACTGTGAGGCCCTGAGAGGCTCTCCCCCAATCCTGTACCGATTTTATCATGAGGATGTCACCCTGGGGAACAGCTCGGCCCCCTCTGGAGGAGGGGCCTCCTTCAACCTCTCTCTGACTGCAGAACATTCTGGAAACTACTCCTGTGAGGCTGACAATGGCCTGGGGGCCCAGCACAGTGAGGCAGTGCCAGTCTCCATCTCAGGTGGGTGGGTGTTACCTGGATACAGAGTTTGATGAGAATGGCTGTGTCTCACCAGCCTGGAGATGTCTGCTGTGTGTGAAGAGGGGGAACGTGATCTCAGCGTCCAGTTGCTTCTCTTCTCCCCACACCAACCTGAAGAGTACAGACTCCACTTCAATGATCTCTTACATGAATTTGCATTTACCATCCCTATATAGCATTTATATGAAGGGCCCAAGTCTTTAACCTCTGAGGCTGAAGCACTGCTTTCTTTCCTTAGGACCTGATGGCCATAGAAGAGACCTCATGACAGCTGGAGTTCTCTGGGGACCGTTTGGTGTCCTTGTTTTCATTGGTGTTGCTTTGCTGTTGTATTCCTTGTTCCACAAGATATCAGGTTGTATCTACTATTTGGATTTTCTATATTTTGCTATGACTTTTCCACTACTGATATAGATTGAAATTACAAAAAAAAAAAAAAGAAAGAAAGAAAGAAAGAAAAGAAAACGCTCCAAAATCCAATAATTTCTTTTTATGCTTCACAATTCTGCAAGACTCTGTGCAGTGCTCAATGTGGTCATACTGCTAATTATACAATTTGTCGTTGTTCCCCGTGCATAGTCACTTGAGGTTAAATTATTTACACATTCCCTCCATGCTTGACTTTTAAATTAAAAAGTCTAATTATTAATTGCCATTTAGTAATTTTCAACTGGTATAATTAGCTTATGTACAACAGAGCAAAATGGAGTAAGGAGCCAGATTTAAAGGAATGCAAACAATTTAATGTGCTCTTTTTTCTTTTTATTTATCCATTTCTTATTAGCCACCTTCTTTATGAAAAGAGCGATGACTCCTTGAATTCTTGGATCCATGATATAGACCATAAGAAGCCATCTTTACCCATATGTCTGGCCGCTGATGCCGGCTATAGTTTGCAATTTCAGCTAAGAGTCAACTAGAGCACATATATGCAGCCTCTCAACATGGCCTGGATTTCCTCACAGCATGATGACCTTAAAGTAGTCAAACTTTTAACATGTTGGTTCAGGCTCCAAAAAGCAAGTGTGATAATGAAGCTGCAATACATTTAATCAATGAATTCCAAAAAGTATGATGTCGTGTCACTTCTACGGCAATTTTATTATGTCCTGGTGCTTCAAACTTGCCCAGGTATCAGTGGAGAGGGCACAGACTTCATCTCTAAATGGGAGAACTGTCAAAGAATTTTAAACCATATTTTTAAAATTTCCACATATAACACCATGAGTTCGAAACTGCTATGTCTCCAAACCCCAAAACACTGTTAAAAGCACAAGACTCTTGGTGTTCTCTCTGCAATCAGTAAATGCTCCATGGAACAAATGATTTCAGAAGTTAGGCTTTTCTCCCTGCGCCCCCTCCATCTTTTGTTGAAGATTTTTGTGTCTATGTTCATCAGGGATATTGGCCTGTAGTTTTCTTTTTTGATTGTATTCATGTCTGATTTTGGTATCAGGGTAATTCTATCCTTGTAGAATGGGTTAGAGAGCATTCCCCTGTCTTCAATTTTTTTGGAATGGTTTGAGGAGGATTTGTATTAATTCTTTATACATTTGGTAGAATTTGGCAGTAAATCCATCCAGTCCCCGACTTTTCTTTGTTAGGAAGCTGTTATTAATGGTTCAATCTTGCCACTCATTATTGGTTTACTCAGGTTTTCTATTTCTGTCTGATTCAATCTTGGTAAATTGTCTGTTTCCAGGAATTTATCCATCTCTTGTAGATTTTCCTGTCTATTTGCAATAATCTCTGATGATTTTTTTTATTTGGTGTCAGTTGTAATGTCTGCTTTTTCATTTCTGATTATGTTTATTGGGGTCTTCTTTTCTTGGTTAGTCTAGCTAGCAGTTTATCAATTTTGTTTTTCTTTTCAAAGGACCAACTTTTGTTTTATTGATCCTTTGTATTTTTTTTTTTAGTTTCTGTTTAATTTAGTTCTGCTCTGTTATCATTTCTTTCCTTTTGCTAATTTTTAATTTAGTTTGTTCTTGGTTTTCTAGTTCCTTGAGGTACTTCATTAGATTGTTAATTTGAATTCTTTCTACTTTTTTGACGTAATTGTTTATTGCTGTAAACTTTCCTCTTAGCACTACTTTTGCTGTATCCCACAGGTTTTAGTATGTTACATTTTCATTTTAATTTGTTTCAGTTATTTTTGATTTCCATCTTAATGTCTTCATTGACCCAATGGTTGTTTAGGAGCATGTTGTTTAATTTCCACTTATTTGTACAGTTTTCAAAATTTATCTTGGTATTGATTTCTAGTTTCATATCCTTGTGGTCTGAGAAGATACTTGATATGATTTTGATTTTAATAATTTGTTAAGACTTGTTTTGTGGCCTAACATATGGTCTATTATGGAGACTGTTCCATGTATAAGTGAGAAAAATGTATATTCTGTAAATGTAAACAAAATGTTCTATAAATGCCTGTTAAGGCTATTTAGTCTAAAGTGCAGCTTAATTTCAATGTTTCTTTGTTGATTTACTATTCGAATGATCTGTCTAATGCAAAGAGTGAAGTGTTGAATTACCCCGCTATTATTGTATCAAAGTCTATCTCTCTTTTTTAAGTAATATTTACTTTATGAATCTGGGTGCTCAGGTGTTAAGTACATATATATCCTCTATAACCTCTTGCTGGATTGATCCCTTTATTTTTGTCTTTTTTTTTTTTTAACTGTTGTTTATTTATTTATTTATTATTTTGAGGTGGAGTCTTGCTCTGTCACGAGGCTACAGTGCAGAGTGTGGCGCAATCTTGGCTCACTGCAACCTCTGCCTCTTGGGTTCAAGTGATTCTCCTGCCTCAGCCTCCCAAGTAACTAGGATTACAGGCATCTGCCACCACGCCTGGCTAATTTTTTTGTATTTTTAGTAAAGACGCGGTTTCACCATGTTGGCCAGGCTAGTCTGGAACTCCTGACCTCAAATGGTCCTCCCGCCCTGGCCTCCTAAAGTGCTGGGATTACAGGCGTGAGCCACCGCACCCTGCCTGTATATTTTAAGTAAAGAATTTAATCAATTTACATTCAAGGTTATTATTGATATGTAAAGTTTTCTTCCTGTCATATTAATTGTTGTCTGGTTGTTTTGTGTATTCCTTGTTGTTTTTTCTCTTAGTGTGTATTTTCTACATCTAACAATCTTGGGGGATTTAAGTGGTTTGCAATGCTTATTCAGTCAGTACCTGACTACCAAGCCTAACTTTGTTGCACCTCCTGGCTATACCTATGCATTTTCACGATGGTAAGTATTGTCCTTTCGCTTTTAGGTTTAGGACTCCCTTAAGCATTTCTTGCAGGGCTGGGCTAGTGGTGATGAATTTCATCAACTTTTGCTTGCCTGGGAAAGGTTTTATTTCTCCTTATTTATGAAGAATATTTTGCTGGATTTGGTTTCCTTCACTGGCACTTTATTTATTTTAGCACTTTGAATATTTCATCTCATTCTCTCTTGGCCCGGAAGGTTGGAGTGTGTCTCTGTTTTGTTTTGTTTTGTTTTGTTTTCTTTATAGGTGACTAGAGGCTTTTCCCTTGCCGTTTAAAAAATTCTGTCCTTGTATTTGACTTTAGACTGTTTTATTATAATGTGCCATGGAAAAACCTTTTTGCATTGTATCTGCTTGGGGATCTAAGAGGTTTTGTATCTGGATGTCTAAATCTCTTGCTAGACTTTGGAAGTTTTCATCTATTATTTTGTTAAATAGGTTTTCTAACCTTTTCATTCTGTCTTTGCCATCTGGTACCCCAATAATTTGAATAAAAGTGTTAAAAAAATGTGCCAATTCTTGGTCCTCCAAGTGACTTAGTCACATACCCGAAGTGGCAATGCTGGGCCAGGGAGGTGAAAGGATTCTCAGGCCCCTGGACAGCCAGCATGGTTTGGGCAATGGCAGTGGCAGGTCCACCCTCTGAGTCCCAAACAGTGCATACTGGTGTTGGTAGTGGCTGTGATAGGCTGGGCAGGTCAGACTCCAGACCTGCAGATGGTGCATGCGGGTAGGTATCAGTTGTGGTGATAGTGGCAGAATTGGTAAGCCCAACCTCAGGTCCCCTGGAAGAGTGTTAGGTGCCATCGTGGTGCACTGGGCTGGGCAATTCCCTGGCCCCCATTCTGTGTGCTCTGGCATGGTCAGAGGAAGGGCAAAATCATGCTGGGTGGGCTTGTCCTCACGCTCCCTGATCCTCTCTGCTCTCTTGTCTCCGCAAGTCTTCACTATCTTATTACCACTTCAATGCTTGTAAACAGACTTTAAAACTCTTTTGCCCAGTTTTTCTAGTTGTCCTTAGTAGATTTGGTTCAAATGCATTCAGTAACCACTACTGGAAGTTTGAAGGCATCTACCTTTTACAACCAACATATTCCTTAAGCTGCCGTGTTTTTCACATTTTCAGCATGACTATTTGTTTTTGTAACATATTATTTTTAATGTCAAGAATTTAGATAAATCAGAGTGATTTGTCATACTGCGGGCCCTATTACTATTTCGCAAGTCAAAAAAAATTACCAATGACCCAATTATTGTGTCAACCACATATGGCAGGTTTACATATATTATCTGTAATTATCAAGTTATTTTTAAGTGTATCCTTTTCGGGAGACAAGGTCTTGCTCTGTTGCCAAGGCTGGAGTGCAGTGGCACGATCTTGGCTCACGCAGTCTCGATCTCCCAGGTTCAAACCACCCTCCCACATCAGTCTCCTGAGTAGCTGAAACTACAGGCCCATGTCACCATGCCCACCTAATTTTTTTGTAAAGATGGGGTTTTACCATGTTGCCTAGGCTGGTCTCGAATTCCTGAGCTCATGCTATCTGCCTGGCTTAGCCTCCCGAAGTGATGGGATTATAGGTGTGAGCCACCACTCCCAACCTAAGTATCTTATTTTCTATGTCTAACAATCTTGGGGAATTTAAGTGGGGTTTTTTTTGTGGTCACTCAGCCAGTAGAGGGCAGACCAGAACCTATATCTACTAAGCCTCAAACCTAACTTTGTTGCACCTCCTGGCTTTACCTATTCTCTTCGCATAAGTTTCACCTATGTCAGTAAGGTGTTATTTATTTTAACCTATCAGATACAGGACAAACATGGGGCACATCAGAATCTCAATGATAGCTTTGAAGCTCTTGTAAAATGCTTTCTTATGCTTATCTACTACAACAAGTGAAATAAACTTTGGACACTCATTAATTTTCTTCCACATAGTAAACATTTAAGCCAGTATTTTATTTTATTTTTTACTTCCAACATTTATTTTAGGTTCAAGAGGTACATGTGCAGGTTTGTTACATGGGTAAATTAGTTGTGTTGCAGGTTTGGTGTTCAGATAATTTTGTCACCCAGGTAATCAGCA